AAAGAACCAGAAATATAAAAGCGTGGGCAAGGTTGCTAGTGGCTTATGTTTGACATTCTATTCACTCTACAAAGAATAATAAGAAAGAGATGGTATTTTGAAGCTAAAATCAGGCTAAAAGAGACCTTCTCAATCATGAGCTCAAGATACTGGTGTCTCACACAGTCATATAAAGCTACTTATGAGTTTATTAAACTGTATAAATTAAATTCGTAGTTAAATACTGTAGAAGAATACAGGAAAAAAATCAACAAAAACTGAAATCATTGGATACTTGTGAAAAATTGAGCTTGTCTGGCTCTGAGGATCAATTGCTTGGAACAGGCTCTTCAATCAGTCCCCTGTGTGAAGCTCTGTTACACTTCTTTATATGCTCTGTGTGGTTTTGTGTTGCTATTAACACAATACAAGAATAGAATACAGAATCACAGAATCATAGAATCATAGAATCATAGAATCATGGAATCATAGAATGGCCTGAGTTGCAAAGGACCTTAAAAACCATCTAGTTTCAACCCCCCTGCTGTGGGCAGGTTGCCAACCCCTGGAGCAGGCTGCCAGGGCTCCATCCAGCCTGGTCTTGAACACCTCCAGGGATGGGGCATCCACAGCTTCTTTGGGCAACCTGTTCCAGTGTCTCACCATCCTCACAGTGAAAAATTTCCTGTGAGCCATTCCATGTTAGCTTATTTAAAGTGCTAAAATCATGAGACCACCTCCCTGGTTCATGAAATTCACCTGTTTTATGTACATCTGAGCCTCTCTGTTGCTGGGCAGGTGTGTGAGAGCGTATAGATCTGTTGCAGCTACAGTACCTCTGCTTCTGCACACAGCTGGCAGGTGAGGTCTTAGAAGAGCTTGTGCAGAAACCTTGACCCCTGTGAGCTCTCTGGGCATGATTTTCAGGTCAACAAGGACTCAGGGTGGACCTAAGCCTCCTTCCAGTCCTCAGTGATGAAGGCTATTGAAAACCTCACTCATATTTACTACCCATACTTTGATTGCAGTCATTTCCAAAGATAGATGGGCTGAATCTTAGCAGTTTTTTTCAGTCTGAAAGTGAGGTGTCTCAGGGAGGCAAGTATCAGTAATGGTAGAAATGAAAAATAAGTATTCAACTTCAATGAACACCTACATGAGGCCTGTCTGGACAACTGGTTACTAGATAGGATGGTGAATTTGGAAGCTACCATCCTGTCCAGCAGAGTCCTGTGAAGCAGTGAAGTCGTCTATACCTGCTACTCTAGGATGAGCAGCAACCAGAAGAGTTTGTGCAAGCTGGTGGTTCACTGGCACTTGAGCAGACGGAGTGGCTGGAGGCATCTGCATGCAGAAGGCTCCCTCAATGCCCGCCCTGCTCTCACACTTCTCCCTTTTCTCCCCTCTCTTCCCTCCATCTCCTCTGTGGCTGTATGTTTTTACCCTCTCCCTGAGTCTGTTGCCCACCAGACTTTCCTGGGAGATGATCTAACTCATTAAAACAGCACAAAATTACCTAGCTTTTTTTGTTGGATTAATTTTCTGTCACTGTAATAAATCAAATTGTCTCACAGAGGGGACTGAAGTCAGCACCAGGTGTGCAGAAGGAACACATGGTGGGGTTTGGAAGTGAAAACAGGGAAAGATGTGTAAAAAGCAGAATAGTAACTCATCATTTTGGGCAGTTTAAAGCTGCTAAACTTTTTCACCATATCTTGTGTCCCAAGATCAGAACCTAACTCTGAAAGAACAGTAATTATTTGTTTGCCCAGTGATGACCTTTGTGTACACACAGGCTAAAATGTCAGTGATCTAGACAAGTCTGATTTATTGCCTATATACTACTAAAGCAGCTCTCTGAATTTTGAATTATAATAACATGAGCTCTTCTCTTCCAGCCCAGTTCATTCAAACCAGAGCTCCAACAGCCCTTGTTTGTTTGGCGTAGTTTTTGTAGCATATGGATTCCAGTATCTAAGGCAATATCCTTCTATGAGGTGCCCTGTGAGAGAATAATTTGCATTACAGTTAGCACAGCATTAATGCTATTTGACATATTTCATAGAGACACATCCCAAGGCATTGTCATTAATCCTTGAAACATGACAAATACACTTAAAGCAAAACAGGCAATTAAAAAACTTTAAAAAAAAAAAATGAGATGGCATTATCAAACAGAAACAAATCCAAAAACTCTCCAAGTCAATTTCACAATTTAAAACCATAATGACAAGATGTTCTTTCTCCACTCAGTTGTCACTGGATCCTTGGCCTTTGCAGCAGTCACAGAGCACAGACTGTCTGTAGGTCCATAATACATAATGAACTTGGACAATGAAGACACAAGACTATTTAAAGCTTGGTAAACTATTGAGTAACCTTAGCATCAATCCTATAAAAGGCTGTAAGTCTACAGGGAAATACTGCTGACATAATTATATTCTGGCTGACCTTAGTCTGAGGTAGAATACAGACAATACCATTTCATGCTGTCTCCAGACCAGGCGGGATATCATTATCCAAGCAAGTGAAGCATTGCATTAATCATGCTTGTGCTGGAATTATCATTTGGTGCAGGACAAGAAATGCCCTGCCTTATGGCTAGCCGTTTGTGTCTCTCAAACTGCTCCTCTTTTACCCTCCTAAAACATAGAATTGTAGAATCATAGAATGGTTTGGGTTGGAAGGGACCTTAGAGATCACCTAGTTCCAACCCCCCTGCCATGGCAGGGACACCTCCCCCCAGACCAGGTTGCTCAAAGCCTCATCCAGCCTGGCCTTGAACATCTCCCGGTATGGGGCGTCATTTTAAAGCCTAAAGGCAGTTTATTTCTTAATAGGCAGTAGAAATACTTAGCAAGAACTTAAAGTTACTACAATAAAACACATTTTTAATGGCAAAATGATTAGTGGATTGTTGCCATTTTCACTAGCATTAGGGGAAAATAAGCCCCATCTTCTCTGTAAGTTAGACTCACTACCATGCATTCAGGGGAAATAATTGGGGAGCTCCCCCAGTCAGGCCTTTTATTATAATTTATGTTATTGTAGAAGTGCCCATCAGTCAGACTGGGACTGTGCAAGGTGCTGCATACATAGTCCCTTGTCACAAAAGTGCAGTGTAAGTAGCTTATCATGCAACTGCACATAGGTTTAAGTATCGGTAGCACACACAAGTAGGAAACTAAATAGTCCACAGCCTAAATGCTAAGTAGAAAACAGTTAGTATAAGTGCCCTATGAAATGGAAGAAGAATCAATCATTCACAGTCCCACTGTGGTAGAGGAGACTGAACATCCATCTACTGCAAACCAGTAAAGTGCCACAGGACCTGTGGACTTGCAGTCCTAGGAGCAACCCAAGTCTGGCTCTGATTTCCCTCTGTTTTGCACCTTGTTGGTTTAGTCTCTTTGCTTTTGTTACTGCTGAAGCCAACATAATAAAAAAGCAGGATCTTGCTACCAAATGAAAGAAGAGGCTGAGTTACCTGAAAGTGTGTGCTACAAGAACCATTATAGAGCATCTGCCAAAGCAACATTTTTGTCTTGCTGAAGTGCTTCTTGCAGGAAGACATCAATATAATCTAATTTTAATATGATACCTAGTACTATCAATGATTTTACTATCCATTAATTAATAGCAGACTCCCACCACCACACATACCTACTTTGCTAGCTGTATTTGTCCTTTTTTATGTTTATTTGCATGTTTTGTTTGTAAGCAAATTAGCGTATATCTTGAGGGTTATTATAGCTAACGATGTACTTACAGAAAGTGAAATTGCTATCTAAGCCATTCAAACAGCTGACTGCAAGATCAAGACGTATGTCTGGAGAGAGAAAATATTCTTCAGAGTTCCCATATTCTGGGACAGCTATTAAAAGGCTTAACTCGGTTTTAATAATTTCCTTCATAAGCAAATGACTGACCCCTGACAGTGTTGCACAAATCGGTCATAAAACTTAATAGGTGCATGAGGATTTTGATCAAAAGCTACCAAAGATGTACAGAAGTGATGAAACTGTATGAATTACATTATCAAAGAGACTCATAGTTACCAAACCTGAAAAGTTCCAAAGACAGGTCTGGCTTAGCTACATTGGCTCTGGGGTTGCTAACTTCTGAGGAGTGAACATAGGCATCCCTCATGTGGATGGAGTAACGGGACCCAAGATTGAGGCAAAAGCAGACCATGCCAACAGAGTGCAGGGCTTGAAAGTCACCATGTAGTGATGCTGTGACGTGAAGCATTCAGTTTTCTGAGGACTGTTCAAAATAGATGTAGTATCTGAGATGTAGTATATGAAGAGTTTTCAGATAGGGGTGCTCCTTTTCCATGAGGGCTTAATTTAAGCTCCACTAGAGTAAACTAATGTAAATTTCCCCAGCAGTGGCGTTTTCTTGCTGTCACTGGAATAGATCAGCTCTGGAAAGGGAAAAAAGTCAAAAGAACAATAACAGAGCATGGCAGGGTCAGGAAAGTGAAGTGCTCTTAGTTCTGTAAGAGCATCCCCACAAAAAGCCAGCTGTTGATATGTCATTGAATCTAGGGGCTGTGTGTGATCTCAGGAAGTCTTTCACAGGAAGGACCATGCCAGAATTGGCCGACACTTGCATTCAGACCTGTAAGCTGATTTTCATTGTGAGAAGTGATACACAAAAATCATCATGACTGCAGAAGTAGAAACTGAAGATCTGTGCTAAAATTAAACCTTAGTAATGTCAGCTTAATTGTAGAGCAGCAATTCCTACTGAAGCTCGGGACTGAGCTGTGGTGTAGTGTATGTGACACCACGACTGGCCTCGGACCTCTGAGAAGTCTTGTTCAGAGGAAAAAAACTGTGAGAGAGAAGATAACGAAAAGATGATTGTTCTTCCAGTAAATGCTCTTCGCAGCTTTGTGCCAGCCCCAGTCAGCATAGCCAAACCTTGTTTTATATGTCTTAAAAACACTGAGCAGCTCCAAAAGCAGGCTGTGTCCCTGGAGAGAACTAGATTCAGCCT